AAAATGTTTGTTTTTTTCTGTGGCTTTAATTAAAATACATTTTCATTTGAAAAATCATAGAAAAATAATAAAACTCATTTTATATATAACTTATTTCTAGACGCTATACTTTTTGTCAACTATTTTTCTGCCATTGCTCTTTGATCTGCACAAAGTTCAAAAACTTTATTAAAATAGGTTGTATAAAATGTTATTATAATAGTTTAAGAGCCAGTGAGCGGCAGACATACGGTATTTCAACAAGCTTCATGTTTTTTTCAGTTCATCCCCTATACCTGAGGTACATGGAATCGTCTCTGTATCAATCTTACCTTTATCAGCTCCATAGAGGAATTCGGCCTTGATTCTTTCGGCATAATATACATTAAATAATACTGCCGATACAATACACCCCTGTCGCACACCACGCTTAATGTTAGACATATATATATATATATATATATATATATATATATATATATATATATATATATATATATATATATGTTGTTAATAATATTATTTGATATATATGTTTCGCATGGCATACATACATATATTGAGGTTCTATCACCCAGGCAGATAACGAACTTCAGTGGCGTCCATAAGCGCGTACTATAGCTCTCGCTCTAATCCAGTCTTTTCTTTCTATTTTTTTTTTAGAGGAAGGGCCCATGTCTGAGTTTTAGTTTACTCATAACAAAAGAACATCTGTCCTTGGCAACGGATATAGCAAATATGTTTTAGTGCATTCTTGTACTTCGGTAGAAAAGTAAGAAGGAATCCTTGAAATTCCTCAGATTCCTTAAGCAAGCAGTTCAAAAGGAGATGTAATTCATTTAAAATTTGTATATATATCATCATCATCATCATCATTACAGCCCTTCACAAGTCCACTGCTGAACATAGGCCTCCCCCAAAGAATGCCACAAAGCACGGTCCTGAGCCACCTGCATCCATCGACTTCCTGCATGTCTTACCAGGTCGTCACTCCATCTCGTGGGGGGACGCCCTACACTTCGCCTACCGGTACGAGGCTGCCACTCGAGAACCTTTCTTCCCCATCGGTTGTCGGTTCTTCGAGCTATATGGCCGGCCCACTGCCACTTCAGCTTACTAATCCGTTGGGCTATGTCGGTTACTCTGGTTCTACTGCGGATATCCTCATTCCTAAGTTTATCACGCAGAGAAACTCCGAGCATAGCCCTCTCCATAGCTCGCTGAGCGACCTTGAGCTTCCTCATACGGCCAGCAGTGAAGGACCACGTCTCAGTTCCATAAGTCATCACTGGCAACACGCACTGGTTGTACAATTTCGTTTTCAGGTTTTGAGGTATGTCTGACGAGAAGATGTGTCGTAGCTTCCCGAACGCTGCCCAGCCGAGTTGAATCCGTCGATTGACCTCTCGGTCGAAGTTGGACTTACCTAGTCGGACTATTTGTCCCAGGTAAACATACTCGTCAACAACTTCGAGCTTAGTGCTCCCAACAACTACCGGCATAGGTGTGAACATGAAACATTGAAAATGATCTTTGTTTTGTCCATGTTCATCTTAAGACCTATCCGTTGGGAAACACTATCGAGGTCATTGAGCATAGTGCTTAGGTCCTCCAGCGATTCTGCCATAAGGACTATATCGTCGGCAAATCGAAGGTGAGTGATGTACGCGCCATTGATGTTGATACCGTATCCTTTCCAGTCCAGAAGCTTGAAAACGTCTTCCAATGCAGCGGTGAAGAGTTTCGGGGATATGACGTCACCCTGTCTTACACCTCTCTGCAATTGGATAGGTTTCGTACTCTGGTTCTGTACTCGGATAGCCATCGTAGCCCTACTGTACAAGCACTTCAACACTTCGATATACCGACAGTCAACTTGGCACCGCTGAAGGGACTGCAGCACCGCCCAAATTTCGACGGAATCAAAGGCTTTCTCATAGTCCACATACGCCAGACATAGTGGCAAATTGTACTCTTCGGACTTCTGTACAATTTGCCGAAGGGTATGTATGTGGTCTATGGTGCTAAAGCCCTTTCGGAAACCGGCTTGTTCGGGAGGCTGGAAGTCGTCAAGTCTGCGCGCGAGACGATTCGTAATGACTCTCGAAAACAGCACGTAGACGCGGCTCAGAAGGGAAATCGGTCTGTAGTTCTTCAAGAGAGCGTTGTCACCTTTCTTGAAGAACAAGACCACCGCACTTCTGCTCCACGCCTCCGGTGTAATGCCACCATGGAGGACGGAATTAAAGAGCCTCTGAAGGACTTCAAGTACCGGTCTTCCACCCGCTTTCAGAAGCTCCGCTGTAATTCCATCCTCGCCTGGGGCCTTACCGTTTTTAAGGTGCTGGAGAGCCATCCTAATCTCGCTCAGACTGACATCCGGGATATCTTCGGAATAGTGTCGGATGAGACTCGCTCTTGGATCGTTACTCACACTTGCGTGTGGCTCCAACGATGATGTGTACAGCTGCCCATAGAACCTCTCAATCTCACTCAAAATCTCAGGTGTCCCGGAAACGATGCTGCCACATTCTGTCTTCAGCTTTGACAGGTGGCTCTTTCTGGCAGACAGATCTCTGGCAAAGACTTTGGAGCCTTGGTTCCGCTCGATCGCTTCTTCAATACGAGCTGTATTGAAGTTGCGTAAGTCCCGCCGCATGCATTTGGAGATCTGTCTGTTCAGATGCCTGTACATTCTTCAACAGACTTGACAGCTCAAGTCTGTTGAAGAATGTAGCTTCATCTCCCGTCTAACAGCCATGAGATTAAGAGTGTGATCGGAGAGTTTTTGTGTTCTTCTGCGGCGGGTCTTGCAGAACTTAGCTCCGACCGCATGGACAGTTTCCACTCATTCATATCGTCCACTTCATTGCAGTCTTCTAGGCACTGAAAACGGTTTTGTAACTCGAGCTGAAAGGTTTCAGGACTTTGGAACAGAGCACGAGGGGGACGGAGCGTTGACTTCATTAGACGAGACCTCTCCAACTTAACGTTTAGGTTCAGTGTGCCTCTAACCATTCGGTGATCGCTACCAGTTTTCACCCTCGCGATCACGGAGACATCACTGAACAGTTGTCGTCTGGTCGTCATAATGAAGTCAATCTCATTTTTTGTCGAACCATCGGGGCTCGACCAGGTCCACTTCCTGTGGGGCCGCTTCTGGAAGAAAGAGTTCATCATAAAGAGTCCCTCTTTCTCCATGAAGTCGGCCAGCTGCTGGCCCCTTGGGTTCCGTTGCCCTATTCCAAATTTCCCTACTTTCAGCTCACCGTTCTCTCTTGTGCCTAGTTTTGCATTGAAGTCTCCCATTAACACCGTATATTGGGTTTTGGAGGAATGCATGGCTCTAGAGATATCCTCATACATTTCCTCCACCTCCCCATCGGGGTGTGCCGAGGTTGGTGCGTAAACCTGTATGACCTTCAGCGAATACGCAACCCTCGTCGACACACTCCCGATCTTTACAACGTTGTTAACGAGAGACTTGTGGACGATAAATCCGACACCTCCTTGGGACAGATGGTCGCCCTCCCGGTGATAGAGCAAGTTGCCGGATTCGAGGATTACCGTGTCCTCCCCCTCTCTTCGGACTTCGGATAATCCTATAATATGCCAGCGCAACTTGTCTATCTCTTCTTCCAGCTCCACGATCTTCTCGTCAGTCCTCAGGGTGCGTGAGTTGTACGTTGCCAGGTCGAGTCGTCTAAGGTGGCAACCGAACCTCCACCGGAGATTCTTAGCACCCCCTGCCCCGCCGTTACCATGGTCGCCACCGTAGCCAGGAATAGCGGGGCCGCCGGGGACTGGGGGCCGTCTCTTTGTTACATTCATAGGGGGGGTATTTGCCATAGTTGCCACGCTTGGCGAGCGGGTTGGCAACCGCAGTTTTTTATTGTCATTTTGGCTATTATCAGGAAGATGCTGCTGCCCATCTCCTGCCTGTTTCCCTTTGTCGCCTTTTACGACACCCACGGGAGGATATGGGGTAGTGGTATTCTTGACCGCCACTACACGGCATATATATATATATAGCTTGAAGTTATTGGCGATTATTTTTACCTGGGAGAAATAGTCCGACCAGGTAAATCCAATTTTGACCGAGAAATCAATCGACGCATTAAAAGTCACCCAATGTTATTTTTTAGTAACTTTTATTGAATACTTCAAGATGTGAAAGCGGCAGAGTTATTATTTCACTTTTTTTTTCGGTTTATTTTTACACCTTTCACATCTGATCGTCTAAATCAACCGCCGGTCAAACTAAAGAGTCCCCATTTCATGTACCTCAGGTATAGGGGATTAACTGAAAAAAAAAACGTGAAGCTTATTGAAATACCATAAGTCTGCCGCTCACTGGCTCTTAAACCATAATGTTACAGAATTTATGGATGATAATAATTCCTGGGAAAGGTGATCGTTACCAAACTATTTTTAATTTGGTTTGTGTTGTTAGTTGTAACATACATACATGATTGTAAGCTGTTAGTTTTTTTTAAAGTCCCACTAGGTTTCTTGCTGTATCTTCCCAGGACACAGGCTTTTTCCCGAACCATTGGTAAATTAAAAAAAAGTGACTTTCAATAAGTATTATTTATAACCTATGTTGAATAAAAAAGTTTCTGTTCTGTTTTGTTATCATAATATTATACTCCACTGAGCCTTTTTAGTTTTTTTTTACATTGCTCGCTTCACCTAATCTAAATTGAATAAAAAGTTTCTATTTCTGTTTCTTTCATAATGTAAACCGCTACGTACTTTTTGTCTCGATTTTATTATGTACAATACCTACTAAATCACCATGAAACCGTAAACTACTTACAAACTTTTACAAGGATTTTGTGAATTCACTTTACCCTTTACACGTTGTAACAATCTTTACGAAGATATCAGTAGTCCTCTTTAGTGTACACTTCTTTTACACGATCATTTATCGGTTTTCAAAATGGCATACATTTTTCTTATAGTTGACTCCAAACAAAACCAGCGCTGACGTATGTATCGAGCTCTGCGAGAAAGCCAACATGGAGTTCCATTTGCTAATGCTCGAGGAAATCATATGCAACGATTCCATGCGTCGAATCGTTCACTTGGACGAGATTGTATTTGACGTTGTCCTACGTTGGGGATACTGGGACGAGGAAGACAGGAAGGAAAATTATCTCCTAGTGAGGAAGAACAAGATCCTCCACGAGATAGACGCGCTAAGAAACACCACGTCTCTCATTTGTGGGGAGCTGCACTTAGCCAACGAGTCTTCAAAAGCATTCAAGTTGCATATGTTTGAATTTAATAAAACGAAGCTTTGCTATTTCAAGGATAAACAAGTAAGTTATTGCTTATGTTTACATGAATGCTACATATTAAATTAAACTTTTTTTTTATAAGAGAGGGGGCAAATGGGCATACGGCTCACCTGATGGTAAGCGACTACCGCCGCCCATGAACAATTGCAATATCAGGGGAATCGTAGGTGCGTTGCCGGCCTTTTTAGAAAGAAGTAAGCTCTTTTCTTGAGGGTCCATAAATCGTATTGGTCCGGAAAAACGCCGATGGTAAGCTATTTCATAGAGAGGTCGTACACGGAAGAAAACTCCTAGTGAAACGTACAGTGGTGGACCGCCAAGCATCCATATAGTGTGGATGGTATCGAGAATTCTACCGCGATGTGCGTTCGTGAAATTTGGCGGCTGGAATTAATCCGAACAATTCCTCAGAGCACTCCCCATGGTAGATGCGAAAGAAAATGCAAAAGGATGCAACATCTCTTCGCAGCGCCAATGAATCGAGCCGATCGGAAAGGACTCGGTCGTTGACGATTCGAGCCGCTCTGCGCTGGATGCGGTCAAGTGGAAGGAGCTGGCACTTGTGAACCCCAGCCCAGAGATGGGAAGAGTATTCCGTGAGAGGCCGAACCTGGGCCTGCAGGCGTTGTGCCGGCATGAAACACTGTCTCGCTTTGCTGAGCACGCCAAGCTTTTTAGAGGCCAATTTGGCTTTCTCTTCCAAGTGACCACGAAATTGCACGTCACTCGATATATTGACACCGAGGATTCTGATACTGGCTGACGCAACAAAGGGAGTGCCTTGAAACTGAGGAGATACGACAAAGGGGTTCTTTTAAGCGGTAAACGCGTAAACTTGTCTCTTCTGAGGATTAAACTGGACTAGATTTAGTCGCCCCCAATCCGAGACTTTGTTCAGCAAAGACTCGACTTCAGACACAAGTTTGTTCCGGTACTTGGCGACCTTTTCCCGAGAAATATTGGCACGGTCGATGTATAGAGCATCACCAGTGCTGTCATCCACATAGCAATGAATGTTACCGGCTTGCAATATATCATTGATATGCAGAAGAAACAGTGTTGGTGATAGTACGCAGTTTTGTGGAACACCAGCGTTAATAAGCTTGTAATCGGAGCATGCAGCATCTACTACGACCTTGATACAATTTCTCGGGAAGCTCACAAGAAGGAAGCTACGAAAGTAACTCTTTGTGCTAGACCCGATCGAAGGCCTTCCCTATGTCCAAACTAACGGCTTATGCCTCCCCCTTGGACTCGATCGTCTGTGTATGTTTATTGGTTGGGTAAAAAGGAATATCAATAGCTGAGCGACCCCGACGGAAACAGTACTGGCGGTCACTAATTAGCTGGTGCTTCTCAAGGTACCGCTTCAGCTGGCAGTTAATACTGGGCTCAATTATTTTCGAGAACAAGGAGGAGATGGCTATAGGCTTGTAGTTGGACGGATCAGAGCGCCTACCTTTTTTAGGGATCGGGTGCACGAAAGTTGTCTTCCATGAATTCGGGACCACATGAATAGGAGTACCGGAAAGAACGCGTTAGAAATGGTGCCAACTCTGACGGATGGTATGTCAGTATCATACATTTTTGCTATCTGGAAATAGGGCCATATGATTTCTGTACTATGTCCAATGGCACTATTCACCAGACCTGGACAGTCAAAGTTTACTAAACAATGCTACAGACTAGCAATTCGACCTCAATACCATATTCGAGGACTCCAAAAACCCTAGTACACCAACATTTCAGACGAATTGAGATCATGTTACACCCTGATGCCACTCAGCTCTCGGCACGGCCTCACCTTGACTCGGGTGTTTGGAGGAATGCACTACTTATTTCAGCTTGAAGCTTACTTGTGTCTTACGCAACACAATTTCAGGTTTGATTTTGTAGTTACCCTTCTCCTAGACAGGTTGCAAACCAATGCTGTTGACGCCTATCTCGCCAAATTACACAAGTCAAAGTTAACCAACCGATGCTACAGACTCGAACAATTCGACCTCAATATCATTATCGAGGACTGCTAAAACCCCAGTACCCTAAAATTTTAGACGGAGCAACCGAGTTCACCATCTTATTTTTGGTTAACTCGTATTCGTATTCTCAGCAAGTCCTTTCATTTGATACCCATATTGTATAGGAAAGCATAAAAAACTTATTCCGCCATCTTTAGAAGTCTGCCATATTGGATTTAGAGTGACGTCACTTTATTTTTCAAGTTATACTAAGCAAGCCCTTTCATTTGGCACCCATAGTGTAGGAAAGTATAAAAAACTTAGTCCGCCATCTTTAGAAGTTCGCCATCTTTAGAAGTCCGCCATATTGGGTTTAGAGTGACGTCACTTTAGTTTTCGAGTTACACTAAGCAAGCCCTTTCATTTGATACCCATATTGTAGGAATGCATTAAAAATAACTAGTCCGCCATCTTGGGTGTTCCGCCATGTTGGATTTAGAATGACACAGCTTATCATGCATTGTCATCCAAACTTGACGTGTATACAAAATTTCAGCTCAATCGATTGAAGATATCTGCTTCAAAATTGAGTTGCAAGATTCCACCCGAACAAACAGTTACATTGCAAGTTAAATAAAAGCTTGTAAAAATAACAGAAATATCGATGAAATCCATTTAATTAGTTTTAATGACTGCCTTAATATTAGCAAGTAAATTTAAATTTCTGTAAAAAAAATTAAAATCCCAGTACCCTAAAATTATAGACGGATTGGAGCAACCGAGTTCACCATCTTATTTTTGGTTAACTCGTTTTCGTATTCTCAGCAAGTCCTTTCATTTGATACCCATATTGTATAGGAAAGCATAAAAAACTTATTCCGCCATCTTTAGAAGTCTGCCATATTGGATTTAGAGTGACGTCACTTTATTTTTCGAGTTCTAAGCAAGCCCTTTCATTTGGCACCCATAATGTAGGAAAGTATAAAAAACTTAGTCCGCCATCTTTAGAAGTCCGCCATCTTTAGAAGTCCGCCATATTGGGTTTAGAGTGACGTCACTTTATTTTTCGAGTTACACTAAGCAAGCCCTTTCATTTGATACCCATATTGTAGGAGTGCATTAAAAATAAACAATCCGCCATCTTGGGTGTTCCGCCATGTTGGATTTAGAATGACGTCACACAGCTAACCATGCATTGTCATCCAAACTTGACTATATATGTGTATATAAAATTTCAGGTCAATCGATTGAAGATATCTGCTTCAAAATTGAGTTGCAAGATTCCACCCGAACAAACAGTTACATTGCAAGTTAAATAAAAGCTTGTAAAAATAAGAAAAATATCGATGAAATCCATTTAATTAGTTTTAATAACTGCCTTAATATTAGCAAGTAAATTTCTTTATGTAAACTATAGATGTAGCCAACATTATTCGGATTAATAAAATATGTACCTATACAATATATTATTTTTGTCCTAGGGCTCCCACAAGATTGAGGAGTGGGATGTAAAATATATTAGAATGAAGCGTCATTTAAAATAATATTTCCTTCATGGCAAGATCAGAAAACGTGCTAGGGACATGGATATTATTCCATCTCGCTCGCTCTATAGAAAGGGTCGTGACGGAAAAATCTTACACCGCCAAACACATCCGCCAAATTCGTACCGAGCAATACGGAACTTCGTTTAATTAAAAAAAATGCGTTACTGTCAGGCGTGGCAGCTGTGGCAGCTATGGCAAATATCCCATTTTTGAGGCAATCTATGGGGTAGGCCTAGTATGTACGGCCCTAGGTATGTTCAGCAATGGACTTTTAATAGGATGTAACAGTAATGGTGAAAACCATTATCTATATTGGCGTGGTTATCTTTTGTTTTATTACAGGAGCAAGGAGCGTCCGTGGTTCGGCTGCACAATCGCCGGAGCAGTGACGGACGATCAGCTGAAGTGGATGGCGGCCATGACGTTCGCCGAACACTCCAACGTGTTGCCAACACCCCGACTCGTTATCACTTAAATGTTCAAACACTCGATCTCAGGAATCATTACAGAGATAGGAACTTACGACGGGAGGCATAGTGAACTATAGGAATCTTCATAAAGAACATCACTCAATAATTTGGATTTGCTTGTGGTATTTGTCAACCCACTTATATGATATAATAAATTGAATTATAAATATCTATATGTATAACTTCCTCTCTTTTCTAACTTGTTACCTACTGAATAAATATGTAAAGAGAGAGATACTCGACGTATTATATTTATTTGACGTTCATTTTATTCAAAGTGTATAATATTTATAATATGATACACAAAAAAATATAGTTGTAAGAGGTACATACAAAAGGTATATTTGTTATTACTGTATATATTATAAGTGCGTTAGTTTCGTGTTGTAATATTTAATAAGTACGGTCAATTAAGATTGCAATGTTTTATATTAAATTTCCTTAAAAATCTTTCAATACTGTACTGTTTTTATCAAATTAAGGGAATCTATTTTTAAAGATGTATTTCGCAAAAGTATTCCAAATTCCATTAAATAATAAAATCGTAATGTTTTTATAAAAACAGTTATGTAATCCAATGATTAATTCAAGCGTTTGTAAAACTATTGGAAATTTTAGAGAAAATTTCGCCGTTCTAAGTCTGACTTGGTGCTATTGATTTTGTATTACTAAATAAAACATGTTCCTTTAATTATATTTAGCGGATTCGATTGCAACGTACGCATAGTTTGTTTCCAACACAGCATAATTCATTTACTTGCCCACATATATAATGTATATATGTTTTTACATAAAAATATATTTAGTAAAAATACCAAAATACATGTATATCTATAGCTTAAGTGTTAATAAGTTGCTATATCAATCTAAGTTTCTTATGAATAAGTTGTATTATATGAGAGTTCTTATATCATATTAACGATAGCCGTGTTAAATTGAAAACCAAAATCATAAATGTATTAAATACGTTTTGTTTGATGAGAGACTAAGTTTAAGACCAAAGCTTGTGGCATGCATACTGGAAGTAAGCTATTTTCTCTCGCAACAAGTCATGCCTTTAGTATTTTAACATAATGAATAGTCCTTCATTCAAACCACGAAGGAGCGTGACAACGTAGAACATTCGTGTCGCCAACGGCACGTTTTTTCAAATGAACTGTATGTATTAAGTCTGAAAGCACTATCTCCGTTGAGATGTCAGACTATAAATTTGCTATTACCATTCGCAAGACTGTCAATTAATTAATACTCGATAATATGACACATTTCGTGACTTTTGCCGCTTCTTGTGAAGTGTTCTTCTACGCTCTACTTCGACCACTCTAACAGAATAAGAACTTGTCTGCCATTCCGGAATCGCTCGTACATATTTAGAATAATTCTGTTTGGGTTCATTGAAATATGGGCGTTGATTTTTTTCGCAGTATATGGAAACTGAAACTGGGAACTGTACGAGTATATGAACTAATATAGCTAAGGCAGAGATATGTGAAAGTAATCCTGACGAACCGTCATATTAAAATGAATCAAGTATTTTTGGGAGCTGTTATACCAACAACTCATTCCGACTTGTCACAAAAAGTAGTTCAGAAATAAACTATAAATAAAATATCATCTATTTCACGTAACTGTGCATGCAAATGTTAAGTACTCATGAAATTTAACAGCAAATGCCAAATTTTGCGATGACTGTGTACTAAAAAGACGGATTGATTTTCTTCACAACAAATAATCTAGATTTTTTCAAAAACTGTTAGAATAATTTTAGTTACTTGTAATGTCTGCTGTTTGGTTTTTTTTTTAAACTACTTACTTTAACGTTTTTAAAGAGTAGTTAAAATTCAGTTCCTTTAGGAGTTTTTTGTACAACAGTTCCGGAAACATGAATTTCTGACCACTTGACACGGTTCATTTGCAGATATATTTTATAGAGAAATATAACGGAAAACACTCGAGCAGTTTTTAAGGAATTTTGCAGAGTAGTCGAAAACACTGCGTATAATTTCTATCTGGGAAAAAATCAAAGGATAGAATAATAAGATCAAAATACAATAATTTTAACTAATATTCTTACTCTCTTTGGACTTCACTCTTGACCAAACTTTTATTCACTTAATACTACCGGTGAAAAGTAATTTAACTACCAGTCGTCGTCAAAATATTTTTCTCCGATATTTTTCACGCTCTTTTAAAGTAACTTTTGCGCAAACTATAGCGAATATAGAATCAAAAATACTTTTCACTGTTTTCATCGGTTAAAAGTAGTTATAACAAAAAAATGCTAATGCAACAACGGGGTCATTGTACATTATATAGCACCAACATTGTAATAGTAAATACTGCCTCCAGTCATAAAGTTATAGATTTTTTTTAGTCTAGACCAGTATTCCTCGTTAACTCTGTCATTTCTCTATAAAATGTTATCTCCACTCCCGTATATGTGCGTCAATTATTCAAAATTATGACGTATTTATAGATTTATTCACTTAGTACTAGGCGTAATGTCGTTAGTAATGTTCAGTGATGTTGCATTCATATATTTAATATATTTAAGCGAACACTATACATTGTATCAAACTAGTTTTTTTACAAATTTTATCGTGTTTATTGAAATTATTTTATATTCCCGAAGTTTCGAATACTTTGCAATAGCCATGGTCACGGGCGACTGAGGAGTTCGATGTCCTACTGTCATAGCTAAATATTTACTCGGCATGTACATTGGTACGTCGAACACCTCAGTCCGATCGTATCCAAAATGTCGGAAATAACAATAAATAGATTAAACGTGATAAAACCCGTAACCCTTTAACCTGTTTCATGCCATTAACATATTAATTTAGTTATACACTATAATTCGTTTTTATTCTGTAGACATAATGTCAGACTGGTAATTAATATTGCTACATTTATTAGCATATTACATTTCCATTCTTCCAATAACTTCAATCGTAAAACTATAAACGTTTTTCTTCAATAGTGAAACATTAAACGTTTCTTTATTTTACGTTACGTATGAAAAGAAAATTAATTTGCTACGTTCAATACTTACATTGCAATATAAATTATTTTGTTTCTTAGCGCACTTATATTTACCATATTAATTAAACCCACTTATCATGTAACGTTTAAAAATAATTGTATCGCCTTTCCCATGACAATCACCATGCTCATTACCTTTTCACTTTGTTAGTTTTACACAAAGCTCTTTCTTGAACAACATCTAATACGGTTTTACGAGTCATTCCGAATATAAACTTAAACTATCAGAATGTGTGGACTAATCTCCAACTGTATTTACTAATAATAAGGACTCGAATATTTTTACGTTTCTGCTTAGCAATGAAATGTAGATTTTAACCACTACCGTGCATGTTACAGATGTCTTTATCAAATTTTATGCGAAATAATTAATTGAAAATAGTCGTTAAGATTTATATTTTCATTTTAGAGGTAAAACTTTTCCTCATTGACAATAATTTTATGTTATAATGCTGTAAAGTTAGGATAATCGTTTGTTAATTTTTTTAATGAAGATGCCTGTCTGTCTATCTGTGATTTTCATTCTACTTCTGCTCACTTCATCACTATATTGCAAAACATCTCAGTTTTTTTTTTATTGACTTGAAAAGTAACAACCATATTGAAATTGAATTTTAACAGATTATTAAAGTAAGCTCAGAGCTATATGAGGTCAATAATTTGAGTGCATTAAGTTCATTACGTATATAGGTACATACTACTTTTATAGATTTTATAGTAAAATATTTTTACCTATTGATTTATGTGGAAGAAGTGCAAGAAACTTGAAGGAAAGGGTTTTAACGATTTCTGTGGCACTGTGCTCAAACTATTACCCCTACAACGTTTCGATCGTGAGTCGTTTGTCCGGACTTGGTACGGAGCGGACCAAGTTCGGCGTGTAAATCATCGGACCGCGCAGACCGGAGCAGATCAAATTCGATTGTCTGTTAATAAATAATAACATAATACTATTACATCGCTCATTAGTTTTAATCAGTTCGAGCTGCCGTCGTCTCTCACTTGTCTAGCTGGGTCGTTCGGGCACAGTGCGACTCCAATAGATTCTATAATACCTATTTAAAATTCCTGCAGCCCGAATATACCTTTAGTAAGTGGCCCGACCCGCGGATATATTAGAATATAAAATAACCCCAAGACATCAGAAGCGTTATGAAATGATTAATTTGTCCACATCTCTGTATGGTTAAATAATCGTCGGGGAATGTGGACTTTACGTACAAGGTTAATATGGGCTGGGTCAGTGAAGTTTTTAAATGAATTACATTTTATTATTATCAGGATCAATTATTAGAAATATATACTATACAATATAACCCGAAAGCAACTCATATACTTTTGCCAAATTTGAACTAACTAAGTGATGTTTAATAGTTATATAGAAAAGTTTTTCTAGTTTACTTTACACAATTTATAACTTTTACAAAGCTAATTTTAAATTTAAAACTATTGTGAAAAATTTCTAACAAAATTGACATCTTTTTG